TAATTGCAACAATTATAGACGCAATGCATATTAGATAGTCGTTATATAAATCTCCCTAGTCGTTTTTAATAATAATAACAGCGTGTCACGAACGTGTGGACCACACAACGACAAGGCAGGCGCAGAACAACATGTCACTTATCTCACAAGTCTCCGTCGATTGCGGTGGTGGCGTTTGCAGTTTATCCCGTATGAATATATTTACGTACGTATACAATGACTACGAAGGGGAGCGCTCGGTCAATTAGGAAATGTTTAATGATAAAATCGGTCGGCAAATATAGTGGCAGAGTGGTCTGTATAAAACGCGTACACACACAATCATGTATGTACGAAGAACGAGAGGGAGTAAGACCTGTGGTGAGGGTAGGGGAATCGGGTATTTGATGAAGAGAACGAACGCACACACACAAACAGGGTATAAGAGAATGAATACAAAAAGAGACTTGGCCCGAAACCACCTACCCCGCTACTGCTTCGCGCAAACCCTCGGGGTATATAGCGAAATTAAAAATATACACACACACACACACACACACACACACACACACGAACAAGCGATCGACCCTTCCGGCCGTTTGTTCATTACTGGCCGACTTTGTATACGATGATATATATGTATATGTATAGCGAGAGACTACCATCACTCGCACCAAAAATTAGTCGACATTTGAATCCTTTTTAACAAAACGGTCCGAACGTATTATACGGAACGCGCACACACGAATATTAACAATACAAGAGGAAAAAATAGAAAAACAAAAAAATGTTGTACTACATTACAGCTATGTTATACGTTGATTTCTTCGGCCGTCCCCTCGCGGCCTCGTTATTCGTTACTATTTTTGCACGTGTGGTACGCATTATTATGCATGTTAGGTGCGTACGTTTGTATTTTGATTTTTGTCCCTTTGCGCAAGTTCGAAAATCAGCGACAAAAGACCCGACGATTTTCTTGTCCGCCCACCATCACCAGTGCGCCACCAGTTAAACACTCGTAACACGGTACGTTGCGCGCACGACGTGCCGTGTGGCCGTGCACCCCGTGGACGCCGTCGAAATGAGCGAGAGAGGGCAGAGGGTAGAAGCGGTGCTCGCGATGGATTAAATAAAAGAGTATAACAATAACAATAACAGTAATAATAGTAACAGTGTAGTGTGTGTATTCGGTGGGCAAATAAAAAGAAGAAAAAAAAAATACGAAAGAGTTTGTTTGATCGCCGTTGTTTGTTTCTACACCGCACTCACACGCACCGTACAGTGCCGACGTACACGCGCGTACGCGTCGCACTCTCGCACGGCCGTGGGTTCAAAAAACAGGAAATAATTAAATAATATTCACTCCGACGGCGGCGCGGGGCGGTTATTATCTCGGTCGGACCCGGGCGCAGGACGAACTTAACACTAAAAAGTTATAACGATATGAAAAAAAAAAAAAAAAAGGCCGGGAAACAACAACAGCAAACAACAAACGACCGAATAATAGTAACTAACCTACCCGTACCCCGCCTCACATTGTTCGCCTTCACTTGCACGCCTATTCTGTTCGCCTCCGAGGACTATTGCTGTTCGCGTTTGACGCGACGCGCCACAGTAATGACGGCCTACAGCACTAACAATAACGCTAGCAAACAAAGATATTATATTATAAAAAAAATACAAATAATAACGTTTACTATTGTCACGTGACACCCACCGCTGACCGATACGCGGTGCGAAATCGCGTTGCTGTACTCGGACAGAAGTCGAACGGACCCTTAAAAACAACGGGCGGGCTGCAGTTGCGAATACCGGCGAACGTGCGCGTCTCCGCGGTCGCACCGAAAACCGAAACCTTCCGGGGGGGGGGGGGGTTGGTCGTGGATGTGAACAATATTTTCTCCGAACGAGATGCGGTACAATTATCACAGCTTTAAACCGTGGAATAATTCGTTAACGATTGCGGTACAGAGATTTTGTAAAAATATTAATGGTCAAAAACGACTAGCATTTCCATTATCATTTCAATAATTGGTCGTTTCACCCTTTCGCTTCGTAGAAATCGATTTATATTCATTTTGAAACGCAATTAATTATTGTTATTGAATACAAGTAGATATCGGGCAGAAATCATAACAAACATTATTGTTACGAGTAAACGGTTAAATCAGTTGAAGATAGATTCTAGGTAGTATGAACATCTTTTCGATCCATTCAATATAATATATTATAATATAATATAATATAATATAATATAATATACATCAAAATATCTTGTATGATATATTATATCACACAAGATATTCTGAAAAAATTTTCTTTAACAGTATATTTTTCGATATCACTTTTGAGTTTGTTTTGGGCATTTCTTTTGGTGCACATTTAATTTAAAAAAAAAAAAAACGGATCAAAGAACGGTCAACTGTTGCAGTCGACATATTGTTCTGTGCAAGATGTCCGTTTCTTTACAACAAGACTGCGCTGTAATCGTAAGTAACGAAGAAGAAAGGTGTTCGGTACGATTTCGAGATCGTTTCAAGCTGATCTCGCGTCGATCTTTGTTCGAACCGGAACTCAGCGGTTCCGCTGGTTCGAGCACCACTAAGGCTGTACCGCATTTCCCAATAAACACTATAAGCTAGTTTTTAGAGCGGCAATTTCTCAAGTGTTTTAAAATGTTCTATTTTATTAAAGCCGATGGGTACTAGGCACTAACTATTTAATTATGAATATAATTTTAAAATGAACTGTTTAAGCATTTTTTACTACCATGTTTTTTGTCATTATATTTGATATCATATTTTTATAACAGCTGTTTGTTTGTATTTATATTATCATTGAAATTTTAAGTAATAAAGGTGACAACTATTAATATACGCTTTAATATAATTTATTAGACTAGAAAGATATTTATATTAAAAGGCGGCAATTTGTTTAGTGCTTAGAGTGACACAATGGTTAAATCCCGGCTCTGCACAATATGATTGGTTCGTTTCGATGACGCACGGTTCTCGACCGGAGGACTGTTCGCACGCTCGTCGCGCAGATAAACGACGCACTCGTGCATGCTTCACGTTTTCGGAGGGGACGACTGACGTTGCGATCGGTAAAAAGCGGTTAAAAGAATGCGCGCGCCCGATAACGATGAATGGAAACCGAACGGCGACGGTAAACGTTCTCGGACGGTTCGAAGGAAAAAAAAACCGTTGACCGTAACTCAGTTGGCGCGAGGAGCTACACGGTTTCGAACGCCGCGACCGTGTCCGCGAACGGAACGCGTTGTCTTACGGTGAACGGGCAACACTCGTTACGGGCGGCGACGTTGGTTGGCGAACTCGATGCGATCGCGTCAACCGACACTGCAGCGGCCCGTCAGCCAGACTCTCTCTAGTTACGCGCACGTACATTGGATGCGAGTCCTTACAAACATCATGATTAAACCTGGGGATCACACGATGTTAAACTATTGCCAACCGTTAGGGTAGATTTTACACTGCGAATGTACGATGCGCAAATCGCTGATCACCAGGGCTGAGATTTGTATGCAACAGCATGTTTTTTTTTTTTTTTTTGCGACTTCTGGTAATAAATAAATATTTTTTTTTTGTAACTATATTTTTGTGTTTATATTATAAAAGTTTAAATGCATATTTTTGCATATTTTGGTAAATAAAATTCATATACAAAATATATTCTACATATTCTAATATATATCTACAATTTTTTATTGTATATAAATCCTAGCCCTACTGATCACGAAATAACAATGTATTAAGGTTTGGCTATGCTATTCGCTTATATCTCGACAAGTATCAAACACTTAAAACGGAATGTATTTCAGCGAGCCGGGACACTGAACGTCAAAAGTATAGGGCAACCGTAAGATACCGATCTGGTCATAAATCCAGGTCGGAACGGAATCTTTTTCGAAAATACTGCTATACCATACAAGAACGGGGTGTATATAAGGGGATACGGAACAGACCAACGGTCAAATTTGTTATATAGACCGACCGTAGCGAGCACCTTCGGACCAGTTAACTTTTCTGAATAAATTAAATGTTTTTGACTTGGAATATTCTCGAAAAATATAGTTCGCCTTAATTTTAGTGATAATTTGAAATGCCTAAGTACATTTCCTAACCTCAGAACCGTTGAGATGGCGGCTACGCGTGGTGTATCGTGAAAGCGAACAGCAGAAGCCCCGTGTAGAAACGTGACACCCGACCCGACGGACTCGGTGTTTTCAGGACAACAATCCTTCCTTGCTGCGTTTTCGCTCGCGCACGAATTACCGTTTACAATGCGATTAGCGAAAATAATAAGAACCCGCGCGCGCACGCGCACCCACCATCACATTATTTATATGTACTATAACATGTGTTCTCGTTACGAGGATGAAAAAAATTAAATAAATAATAATGAAAACCACTTTGGGGTTTTTTTTTTTTTTTAATTTTTCGAGGGGCGGCTCGTTTTTCTTCTTCTTCGAGTGCAACAATGCTTGTCCGAACGCTTTCGTTGTCCGATCGATTTGACCGCAAAACTAGTATTTTTTAAATGCGTTCCCGCGTCATTCAAACTCGTATTTTTTCGTATTTTTCAATCATAATAATGTGTAATTTTACTCTGCGCAACGGTTTCAACCGTTCGCGATGTCAGTTGGACGCGACACCGAGATTCATACTTTCTTTGGTCGATCCTCGTTTTCATTTCCGTGATACAGGATTAATAAACAGTACACCCCTGCCGCGTTAGAGGTATCCAAAATCGATACCCACAAAAATATAAGAGTCATCTGAACGGTTTAGCGTATAAGTAAAATATTTTATTCATTGAACATCGCGTTATTTTAAACACACATATAAACGTAATTGTACATAATATTATATACAGCGAGACGACACGTTCTCGATGCGAATACGGTCCGCGTTCGAATGCGACTTATGTTTTAAATAATACAAATTACAGCAGTAACGTACTTACTTATATTTAAATAATGGAGAAAAAAAAATTAAAGAAAAGTTTAACAATAAAATAAAAGAAAAACTATAACGGTCAAACTATACAGCCATAATAATATAATAATAGTATTGTACATGGTAACTGGAAAAATAAACGCCACTTACATTACGAGACGCATATGCGTTAAAAAACGATACACGAATTCCGCATTGCGAACGGTGCCGAACACAATTATTAATTTTTTTTTTCGCTTACTCGGTACAGCATAACAATATGTTATCTACACGCGATATCCTTTAGTCTATTAAACGAATCATCTCTACGTCCTATTTATACACATATGTATGTATATATGAACAGCTGAAATTAATTTATATACATTTATTGTACTTACGACGTTATAGTTATAATAGGATAAATAGTGTTATGATTCTGAACAGATTTCGTTGCACGTATATTTGTAACCAACGATGATAAATTATTGTACACACCCATATATTTACAATAATTAATGAAAAATAAAAAAACTATTTTTATAATAATGATAATAATTACAAGACTTCGCGGAGGGTTGTATAATATTGTCCATAGAGACGATCAAAAATGGCCTTCTCCGGAATGGATTACAATTCATAAACATATTGTTTGTCTATTACGAAGTGTTATAAACGTAAACGCGCATAGTAATAATATGCAAAATGTTTTAATGGGAAAATAAAAAAAAGAAAAACCGGTAAATACGGTAAATAAGACACCTCGATAGTTCGAGTGGCCGACAGTGAAGAGGTTCGCTGTTCCTGCATCCGTCCTGTACTCCTCTCGAAATACTCGCGAGCGGCTAAGACGACTTCTCGGTGGAATCGATTCAATGGCATGGCCGGCTGAACGGTGTTAGACGAGTCCGGGCAGTGGAGCCCTGGACACCGCGGGGCTGGTGGACATGGTGTGCGTGATGGTGGACGTGCTGGTCGCGTGATGGTGCTGCGGCGGCGGCTGATGATGGTGGTAGAACAGCGACGGCGGTGGCGGTTGCTGCGACTGTTGCGGCGGGTACGCGGACGCCTGCGTGGACGCGGACGTGTGCGGCGGCGTCAGCGTACCGCAACCCCCTCCGCCGCCGCCGCCACCACTACCACCGCCACCTCCACCCCCACCACCACCAACGCCGGCTCCCACGACCGCGGCCACCGATGTGGCTATGCCACCGTGGTGATGATGGTGGCCGGCCGACTGCTGGCTGGACTCGTGGTACAAGATGGGCACGCGCACCAGCCGCTGGGCCGCGTGAGCCATGTTGGCCGCCTCGATCTCGGCCGCCACCTGGCGCTTCCACTTGTTCCGCCTGTTCTGGAACCAGATCTTCACCTGGGTCTCGGTCAGGTGCAGCGACGCGGCCAGCCCGGCCCGCTCCGAGCTGGACAGGTACCGTTTGATGTCGAATGTGGACTCCAGCTGAAACACTTGGCTCCGGGAGAATACGGTGCGCGTCTTCTTCTTCCGCTTGCCGCCTGCGCCTCCGCCGCCACCACTGTTACCGCCGCCGCACCCGCTGTGATCCTTCTTGCCGTCCTCGTCGTCCTGCCCGTCGTCCACAATGTCGTCGTCGTCGTCCATCGACGCGGTCACGTTCACCGACTGGTCAATGTAACGACCACCACCGCCGCCCACGCAGTTTCCCATGAACCGGCGCTGCTGCTGGTGGCCGGGCGATCCTAGACCACCGCCACCACCACCACCACCGCCCCCACCGCCACCGCCACCGTCCTCTCCGGTCGACCATCCGTCTGGGCTGTGGCCGGCCACCGAAGACGTGCCACCGGTGTTGACGCCCACGCTGTGCGGCGTGCTAGGACGGCTGTTCTCTTCGTTAGCCGAACTCGAACCACCTAGAACAAAACGAAACGCATTTAAGTTACTGCAATCGAAACCATCTGGTCGTGCTCGCGTCCAAAGAAGAAATCAAGATCAAGAAATTATTGTTAAGAAATCAAAGAAGAAATTCATCGTGTACCATTCGCAGGCCGTATACGTAATATGTAGTGAAAAATCGAAACGATCAAAAAAAAAAAAAAAAATCCACCGAACTCGTAATTATTATGCCTTTTTGTGTATAATGTTCTTGTTTTTTTTCGCCGATACCGTCCCGCTCAATACTTTACACCCTTTAGCTGGTAATCTCGACCGTAGTGAACGAGTAACCGCAGTTACCTATTCCCTCGTAGTCCAACCTAGCGGCTGTTGCAAATCATTTATGTTTTTATCCATATTTTTTAACCGATTGGTCTCGACAACAACCTATCGTATTACGTTGAAGCTCCTCTTGTTACGGATAAATAAAATAATAAATAAAATGTTCAATCTTTTCATTTAGCGAGCGCTTAATAGTGCATGATTGAACGTTCGAGTAATGCTAAGTGGTTGAGAAGTAGTGATAATCGAATAATATTATTAAAACGTTCCGCTATCGGAAAATACTGATCTGAATCGCATCGTACATTTAATCAAAAAAATTGATAACAAGTAAATCTTCGAAAAAATGCGTGTTTTATATTTTGTTTGCACGCGCTATGCGTAAATATATTCATAAAATTTATTTTCTCTCCATAACCGTAGAACAACAAACCAATGTTCAAATTATCACGAAATCCTCAAACCACTATCATTCTACTTACATGTAAATCCGTTTTTCGGTATAAAAATATTTTCAACAACTGTATATATGCTTATAAGCTCTCCCAAAACTAAATCCTCTAAAATCAGTTTTAGTGAGCCGAGTACAAGTATTGCTGAGAATCTATTCTAAACTATATTATCGTGTGTCTTGCGTGAACATGAATAATTAATAGATTTCATTCGGCACGGTTAATTTACTGTCATATACAGGTAGTTTGATTCCGGTTGAAAATGAATTATTGTTTGTTAAACTTTCCTTGCGTTATACCGTTTGATTACGAACCGTTTTTCTGTAACATTGTAATCCTCAAACCGCAATGTTTCCAACGGTAATCACGTTATATCCTTATACGTATTATCATATCGATGGCGTAGCGCACAAGTGTGATGAGTGATATTTTCGTAATTTTTCAGGAGAACGATTTTTAAGTTTGAGCTATTATAACAATTAAAAAATGTAACGACTTGTAATGAACTATTTGTTTTATTTTCCTTAACATATAATGAGTAATGAGGATTAAAAAACTTGCAATTACCACATTTGTATTCATAAAATTTTTTTTAAAAAAATATTGTTTACTTAACACATTATGTACACGTTAAAAGTAATACTTAAACTCATCACATTTTTCTTCTAATTTCAATAAAGAACAAAAATTACTTAAATAATGTTATAGTTTGGTATGTGCAGAATTTTATGATTAAATTGAATATGCACTTAACTCATTTTTCAAAAAAGTGTCACTTATCACACTTGTGCGCTACGCCATCGATATAGTTTTGGACTGACTTGCGCAGTAAAATTAACGAAATTTATCAGTTATATACGATTTTACCGTTGTTTAGTAATATCCCGTTTTCCGTATCGATAAGACGTATAATAAATATAGTATTTAGGTAAGTGGAAGAGTTTCTCGTATAAAACACGTTCGTGCGATGGTTAATTATTTATTTTCTAAAATGAAAAATTACGTTATCCTCCGTTCTGCATATGTCTCATGTACCCATTATAGCGTCCGGAATGCAAGGCCGAAATGCTTTTTAAACAGACATTGTTTACGAGGTACCTACTCGTGTATCCGCACGCGTCTGGTATTTTACGATAATTACCCAATGATTTGATTACAAACACCAATACGGCCAACAGCTTAATGGAATGACGCAGATTACGAGATCACATCTCTGACGCGATGCACACAAACGTAATCCAAGCGGTTTAAATACAACGGTGTTCGAAAAGTGTTAATTAAAGCCCGGATGTAAATGGAATATGTTTGTACGAAATTAAAAAACATACTCGTATACTACGCGCTAGAAGTACGCCGGAGGCACATTCAACCCACCCAGCTGCACGGTAGGGGTGACTGCGTTTCATTTACCTCGGAAACCCGTTTGAATTTGTATGGGATCGCAACTCTTACGATTGCGTATACAGATTGTAACCTACCCATCCCCTTCAACATCGCAATCATGTCCACGCATAAATGATTATTTGACAACATTATAAGCCAAATAAACAAAAGATGGTAATCGATAAGTGCGAAGTTCGAAAATATAACCTAACGAAAAGTAATGTCTTACGTTACCGGGGAAATTTGGAATCGAGCGCCCTAGATGAATATTGGACTCAACTCCAATGTAGTTTTGAAAACCTATCTTGCAAAGAGTGTACTCCCGTAGAGAATTTGGAAAATAGTGATTATTTCAAGGTTTAGGACAAGGATGGCCGACCCCAACTGGTCGGGAGAAAGGCAAAGAAGAAGAAGTGTACTCGCAAATTACCTGTTATTAAACCTATACTCTTTTTTATCGACATGGGAAATGTATAGGATCTTAATGACCAACCTGATGTGTTGATTTTATAAAATCCTGGGAATATTTAAATATACCTTATTGATTGACTAGTTCTTTATTGAAGCTACATGCCAGTGTGGAATGGATCCGAACAGGGTTTAACGAATATTCTGAAAACCATCATTCGGGCGTTTAAGATATTCAGTATGGAACAATAAAATAAGTTAAATATTGCATAACTCCACCGTTGACGTACCGATTATACACGCGTGATTACGAATTGTATTTATTATTCATATTTTTTGATTTAAATATGAAGGGATAAAAAATGAAACGTTAAAACAACAACGCAGTTAATCGCATTGAACAACGCTACACATCGTAGGTATACATAAATATATAAACATGTAGATGTATAGATGTTATTTTAGATTAAACGGTTTCAGTGGCGGATCCACGGGGTGGTTTGGGGGTTAACCCCCCTAATCAAGAAAAATATATATTAAAACTCAATAATTTTATGAATTCAGAACAATTTTTTTTTTTTTTTTAAGAATGAGAGAAAGTATATACGATTAATTTGTATTTTTATTCATACAAGAAAATAGTAGTCATAGATTTAAATTAATATATTATATTACTTACTATTATCTTAATTCATTATTAATCACCGACTGCAATGTTATAAAAAATATCCCAAGGGAAAACATTTTTCAACCCCTCCCCCCTTATCGCCAAAAAAGAAAATCCTGGATCTGCTACTGAACGGTTTCCTCGATTTTAACGTTTTTAAATATGTTTTGCTTCGCTACCATACGCCTTCTTTGATTACCGCACCGGGATTACATACATACTTTTGTCTTTATACGGAATTTGACCTACTTGTTTTATAAATACTTGCACATGTGTAACACTATGGTAAAATACAGGACATTGTATGCGGCTACATTGACTTAAGTATTTTTAAGTTGACTCAATCCAAGGTTTTCGAAATGTTTAACAACGCGCTGTACTTAACCCTTCTTTACAAACCATTAAACGGAGAAACCATTAAAGTGATTCGAAAATCCCGGTTAGAAGTCTATGTAGACATGAAGTATAAATTATAAAATATGCACGAATAAACTGCACCATTGAATATTAATAATTTTTCGTCCTATCACAATGTTATGAGTACAAATATGTATTGTATACACATGACGCACATGACGTAAATAATAATAAGTTGGCATTTGCCGTAATATTGATGTCAAGCCGTAAATTATTAGTACCCGTTTATTATACAGTAGTCGTGCTGTACATGATAATAAAAGGAACACCCTGGTAGTAATCTATCTGTACCCTAGTAATAGCCTGATAGTAATTTTTTTAGCCAAAGACCGCAAACACTCTATGCCAGGTTCTCACTATTATAATTTATTGCGTGTTTTTTATAGTGTGCGTATTTTTTCTCGTATAAGGACGAAATTGAACTAATGTTCAATCATGGTAATAAACATGCATAATCATTTATGCTCAAACTCGATAGCAGTTGGACATGTTGAATAATTGTGTGCCAGTTTATAATATCCATTCTCTTAAGATTTTTGTATGACGATGGGTTTCATTTCTCAGTTCAAAAATAAACAATTTGATGTTACGATACTACTTCTATTAATCTATTGCCGAGATCATAATATTATTTATTTTTTTCAATGCCTTTTGTTTCTTTTTTAAGATTTTTTGCAAATTATAAGTATTTCTTTTTTGTTGAATCTATATGATCTCGTTAAAAACACAAAAAAAGCTACACATCTACTCGCAATCAGATCACTTTTGAAACTAGACATTATTTAAATGCATACAAGGATACGACATTTGCAAGCATACATGTGAACATAGATTTGCTTATTACTAGGCGTATACTTGCTTGATACATATTTCAAATCATTTTAAAATACAAGAAATTGCAACAGTGCACTGCGCATGCGAACCCGGCACAATATTATGCGTTTCAAAAAATTTTATCAAATTTTCATTAACCTCGGTATGCTATTAATCGAATTGAGTTGTTAAGCACCACGCTTGAACTCTGTAGATTTTTATTTTTTCAAAAAAAATTACGTTAATCACTAAAGAGTCTGTATTTATGGTGTATACACACGGGTTCATTTTAGGGAAAATTAATGATTAACAATTGGAAACATTGTGTTACGATTAATCTTGTAAATCTTGTACATGATGATTATCACCACTGCACCGGTATGTTCTCGAAAAAGGCACTTTCTTTTTACATTTTGATCTAACGGTGTTAACGTTAAGTTCGTATACACTTGGTAGTTTTTGAACTCCGAATAGGCGAAAAACCTCTTGAGAGTGGCGGGGCATGTAGATTAACGCGTAGATAAATTAAAGACGTACAAGGTTAGGTTAGGTTAGGGTAGATTTTAGATAAAATGAAAAAAAAAATTTATTCTTTTACGACCTCAACACGGTACAGTGTACGTCGTGCTTGCATTGTACTATTATTGTTTCACGCAAACCGTGCGGTGCGTAGAAATGCCCACTGAGGTCTGGCGACGCGAACACGCGAACGAGAGCAAATACGTTATGCGTTGCTTACGATATTTACTATTTACCAATTACCATACGTACGTTATGGGACGCGCACACGACCGATTACGGTCGTTTAAATATCGATTGTCACCGATACAAGTCGATTAGACTAATGAAACGGTTAGAGTAGGTATACGATGATGAGGTATTGTGTCACGTCATGTCGAAACAATAGAGCTCTAATAGTACAATAATAATGTGTACGATGTATTATCTGGTCAGGCACTCTTCCCCCTCTCTCTCTTTTTCACCTTTTCCCACTTCCACCCTTTCCTTCACCTCTTTCTCCGTCTCGTAAGTCCACAACGATATGAAACAATTGTACACGCACACATAACATGTATCGTGTACCTGTGGTATTAATTGTCGGTTACAGGCACTTGTACGTACAGGGACGGAGCTTGTGGCGACGATCTAAAACGTGAAGCCGTACCCGGACGCGGTAGTGGCAGTGGCAGTTTAAAGCGAAGCCTTTGAAAATCTTTACATGCAAATCGAATGCAACGAAGCCTTTCTCGTGGAGCGTTACGCACGTCATGCGTACCGAACGCGCATATATTACAACATACGTAATTCAGCGTAGTAATAGTGTTCGGGGGCAAGAATGCCTCGGTGCTCGTTGATCGTCGAGCCCAACGCTTAGTTCACGAGATGATTACACTTTCGGAGGGCAAGAGGCGGTCAAGGATTTCGTCGTCCGTCAATACGTCGTTCCACCGATCTAGCTAGTTACGTGTCGAGTGCTGCATGCTCAGTGGCGTGCGCAGGAATTTGGTATGGGGAAGATGTCATATTAATAAAAATATATTATTTTCAATCTCTATTCTTTATTACTTTATAAAAAAAAAAAAAAAATGCAATCAAGGCGGAAATTCATCCTTCTGGCTTTTGCATTAAATTCATCAATTATTTGTTCTGAAGATAATGGAATGTCTCGATGTACGTTCATTAACGCCAACCCATTTAACCGTGACTGTCCCGCCGTATTTCTTAAATACGTTTTTGAACGTTTAGGACTAAAAAAAAAAACAATGGAAGGGGGATATATATCCCCTATCATCGCCCCTGCGCACGCCACTGTGCATGCTTATCTCATGCCCTGGCTGGCTAGTTGTTGTACGTCGTATCACAACGATACTTGTACGCACTCCCAACACCAGCCATTCTCACGTTCGCGAGCAAATTATCATTACTTTGTATACTTGGTTTTTTTTCTTCTGTTTACACACGTTCCCCACACTTGAGTGCTGTCCACACATACATAGGCACTTAATACTTTCGTCGTCACGTGCCGGTTCGACCCAAATAACATATCACATTACTCCGGACGTGCTCCATATCCGTGTACGAACGACGCGTCGATTGCGAATTATTCATTGGCAATGCCTACACGTATCGTTGTCGTTACAACATGCGTGTACCGGGGCGGAAATCGGTCAGTCGGGTTATCAGATTTCAATCATGTTTTCACGTCGAAGCCTTCACGTAATACTCCACGAGTTGTGTGACGCGTAAAAAATTACGAAAACTGAAACATTTAGGAACAATCTGAACAACGCACTCGACTGTTCGTATACGGTATATAATATCGTGAACTCGTGATATGGTTCCACGGCAATTTCGAACGACAAATTCCAAATCGTGATGCATTTAGATATGGTATTGTTAGTGTAAGAGCTATAAATAATGTATGTCCGCGTACAATATTTAGTAGTGGTGAAGAATTAATATACGATTAATGCGAACATTTATCGTTTTCGTCAGTCGTCAAAAACACTATTCGGTTACATGATGCGTCGACGAAACCGTTAACCAAGTAAAGTAACTAACCCGAATAACCTAGAGCCCCCTAATACCGTTTGTTCGTGATCGTGATGTCGAAACATCGACGGATCTTAGGCTATTCTATGGTATGCCGTATCATCGGTTATAGGTTATGTGCTTACCGGTCGGACTGATGGAGGCTGACAAAGGCTGCGACCACGCGGAATACCAGTGCTTGTCCAGTGCGTTCGCCGTGGTGCCGGCTATCCCCACGCCCGGGTACAGCATGAAAGGACTGCGACCCGATGCCGCTGCGGCCAGTGCTCCGAAATGGCTCATCAGGCCCAACCTGAAAGTATGTAAAACATGTTAGAGGGGCGGAAACTTGATTTTCGGGATCGGCGTTGGGCATTGAACGCGCTACCCGTTCGGTCATTTTTTTTGAAATATATTTAAAACGAATGCGTTTACGATCTCGATATTACATATTGTATATTTATTTTTTTCTTCGACACAAACCATTCGACCGAACGGCTCCCACACGTAACTCAATACTTATGCCGTGCGTTCGCTGCGACTTACGAGTTTATGACGTTCGCGCCAAGAAGGACACCTACGAACGCGTTTCGAACCGTTACACTTCTCGCATTCGCGAATACATTTACACGCTCAACATAAATACTAACAAATCTGTCCGTTACTCTTTTGATAGTAAGCTTCTTTATGTACACATACATTATGTTCCTGCGTGAGGATAATCTCACTATCCAGATTTTATGAGCTCTGTCGTGTAATACTATCCTTTTTATGCACGCGCCCCATACTAGTTTGGTTAATTCTACGAGTATTTTCATTCCCATTAAAATCGCACACGAATTTAGTGTGCTTATTACAATATAATTGACAACGATTATGAGCAAATGAGAAATACACTGGACCCACATGCGTACGACCACTATAATATAAGGAAACCAGAAAACATTATTCCTTACTAAGTCCGGAACGACACGTTGTGCATTCTTACAGGATCGTCTAACAAAGCTCGTTTAAAATCAAATATTATTCGACTCTTTTTTTTCCGTCAGCTGTGAAGCCGTATCGTTGTTATTGTATTATTGTTTTATAAAATAATACACGTTGTAAATGTACGAGCCAACAAGTAACCGAGATTTATATTTTAATTACATAATTATCAGAGTAAACCGTGTGCACAGTACACGAACATATTAATTTATTTGTTTTTTTTATCCGTCTTTAACCTGTCAATGTTAATACAATAACCGTTAGATTCGATCTCCGCTTTGTTGGTGCAGCGTTATAATAACAAACTACATTTTTTTTTTTTCATTCATATAATACGGTGTCCAAAAGCAATAAAAATCGCACCTGATGAACCGGTCGAATTAAATGAAGACGTTTGGCGGGCTTTCAAACGCATTAGTTCACCGGTTAGATCCCCGACCTGTACGTAATAATGCTCGCACGCGCGATCCTTGAAGAGTTCGCGAAACCTCTCTCCCGAGTCCACATCCATCCCGTCACGTCACTCTATACGGCCGCGAGCGCACAAATATCATATATAAATGATTACCGCATGCTGGCGCGTTGTTATATTAACCGGAAGGAACGCATATTACTCCACCGTCGTCCGTATTAATATGATAATAATAATAATTGCATGTGCGTTAGCTTCAACGCATCCGGTCGTGCTTGCGCGTGCGAGCGTAATTGTGTATAGGAGCGGGTGGGAGAGAGAAAGTCGAAAGTTTATACTAAACAGATTTGACTTGGGTAAAGTTTAGTTTAAAATTAATATTTAATCGTTCGATAATGGCGCTGGCGGGCGTAACAAACTTTCTTCGTCGCCACCGCCGTACCACTGGTGCGAGGGTAGTGTGAGGCGCAAAGGGCTCGTGTACAAACAGTGCACCGTTAAAAGCATTTAAACCGTCTTCTCCGACTCTCCTCCCACCCCTAGAGTATACGGCATGTATATATATATGTGTATGTGTGTGTGTGTGTGTGTTTGTATAATACCGTGCAGAAGTGTACGTTATTCGGAGAATCCCTTCGTCGCGACACTGCAGCAGCAAATTTCCCACCAAATGCTTTCACCACCACCGACAAGAGGTTTGCGACATGAAGATACCGTCCCGGTATTGGTGACGACGACAGCAACCGTGACGGTGTCCGATATACTTTAAAACTGTACGCGTTTTCACGACCAGCTACTTTGATTTGTTATTATAGTATATATAGTATATATACTATAATATATATATAGTATATATTATATACTATACATTATAATGTATATCATTTAAGTTCGATGTGATCGAAAGACAAACGTAATTTTACTGTAACGCCACAAAAAAAAAAAAATGAATAATAATAAAAATAATAAGCGTGATCGTACGTTGATTTAAATTTTTTCCTGTTTTTTTTATAGTATTTGTGAAGGATATACTGAATATCTGATGAACGGAATAATTGCGAGTTAAAAAATAATAAAAAATAAATACGGTGAATGTTTGAAACTTTGACTATCTCCCAAATCTTTATACCATAATTTAGTATGGTCATATTATGACCGAAAAAGTTTTACATACAATTTGGCTCGCATATTATAATATAGCTAATGTTATTATAGTTTATAAATCAATTTATCATAACGTTTCGATAAATTGACTTGCACATTATTATTTAAAATAGCATCGTGGTTTGTCTATTCACAGTATTAAAATTGATTGGATACTGTTTTCTGATTAAAATGTTGAAATAATTTCTAAAACAATAGACAAACTTTGGATACCATGAATATATACACTTTTAAATGTTGATCATAAAAATAATGAGTATAATAATAATTAATAATTTAAATAATATAATAATTAAATGTACACAATTTACATAGGTATTTTGGATCGCACAACAAGGATTACTGTATTATTAATGTATTGTTATTGACACGAGTATGTAATTTTTTTCATCAACGTACTAAAACTCACAGCTGTACACCTAAATACAAGTATATGTAATATTACATTATTTTACGCCTGTGTATATTTTTATGGATGTGCCTTGAAAATTTGAAAGTTGTATTGTAGACGTCGGACAGCAACACACGGACGTGGCTAAATATGAATTCGAACGGTAGACAAACGTAATTATTATTTTAATTTATTTTACCTCAATATACCGTTATCGATTTGTTTAAAACGAATTTGTTGATAACGGCTTAAAAGGAAAAAAAATATCTACCACAAAAAATATTTAAACACACGAAAGAACTTTTTGTAATTGTTGTATACGCGAAATTAATAAATAAACACATGACATACGTACGTATTTACACATATAGGCCTATATTAACACATAAACATTATTATTGCTGAGTTATGTTATCACGATTATTTATCTTATTAGCTGTCGTCATGAGTTCGCTCAAAACCGTAGAACAGAAGAAATTTTTAACTCAGGGGCGAACTATTAAAACACACCGACTATTTTTTGCGCAGTCTGATGAATTTTCGTCGGATTGCTCTTTAGTCGATCAATATATTACAATACGTAACTAAATTTAACAGACTAGCTGAGTAAATACATTTACATTAATTATAATCGTATTGTTATGGGATACAAACGATTTTTTTCAATATGAAAATTAGCTGATAGAAATGTTTTCGGTTCAGTCGATATACCATGTTTACCGTTTTCCTTTTATCTCTCTCTTCATATATTTTTTCTCGGAATGTCTCAAACACTAGACGGATTCCAGTTATACATTATTAAAAGTTTCACTTTATCGCAGTATCCATAAATGTACAATATACGCTTTTTTTCGTAACTACTGTGTTAAAAAATACAGATCACACCGATTTTTTTTTTACGCATTTGTGATCATAAATCTTCAATCTTAGCGGACCGTGTGATACATGTTTATACGCATAATGTTTTCGGAACTATAAATAAATATAAAACAATGGAATGACGTACAATCGTTATAACAAATGCGGAATGATGAATTTTAATATTATGATTGCCTACACAGCAATACGATTATGCTCGTGTCGTGTGTAATTCGATTGGAGGGCGGCGTCAGCGTAGGTAAAACGTCGAGGCGTTCATGGTGGTGGTGATGGTGGTGGTAGTGGTATAGACGATTTTCGGAAAACAGCACAATATATGCGAGCGCGCGCGCGCATATTTGTGTGTGTGTGCGTTTGATGGGAATGATAGAGGGATGAGAACGAATCGAATGGGTCCTGAAAGAAGGGTTGTCCCGGAGGGTAGAAGCGAGGGTTATATCGACAAATTCCTGGTGAACACGCCACTCCTGCCGCTTTATCCCCGTGGCAGTGTATATGCTCCTGTACCACCGCCGGGCCCCCCTCTCGTTCCATCGCCGTTGGACCTATACATACCGCCCAAAGCACGGTGGAATTTATCGCCGTCACAAATGGCCGCCGCCGTTTGCCCAATTATATCGGGCGCGTCCGGCTTTACTGACAAATGCATTAGCCGTAATTGATAGTTATGATTGCGCGTCCCCTCTACCACCCTTCATCAGCATTTACGTCACCCGGTCACTCGTTCTCTTTCTCTCTCACACGTTACCTCTCCGTATCTCTATTTATCTATCCTTCTCTCTCTCTCTCTCTCTCTCCCTCTCTCTCTCTCTCTGTCTCTCTCTGTCTATACACTCTTCATCAATATATTATTATCACTCTCTTCCCCTCGTACGCTTTTTTTTCACGTGCCGATCGAATAAATATGATTAACCAGGGTTTATAAATAAATATTACCGAACCGAAGGGTTCCGTTATCTTTTATTTGCTTAATGTTCTCTCCCCCCCCCACTTACTCACATTAACCCTTCAAATGACACCTAAACTCTTAAACGGGTTTGAAGGCAGTCCACTTCACCAATGAGGGCGATCACGTTTACTGAAAATAAATTCACTTTTGATATTTGCGTGTGACAAATGATAAACAATAAAGTATTATATAAGTTATTATTATATTACATAAACATTGAGTATAAATAATCCCCGGATATCAGTCGTCATTGATCCGGTATAATGTTACGATCTACCGTTAAAGTATTTCTCAGCATTCCCTACAGCATCCTCATTGTTATCACATTCATTGTTTTTTTTCGTTTGATTAATATAGTACCTGAATGATACATTATAATCTAATATATTATGTGATAAAATATAATTTAGGTATTATAGTATTTTGTATAAATGAACGTTTAACGATGGTAATTTAAGGAAAAATACATTCAATGTGGATTTCGCTTGTACGCTACATTGTTTTGCTACACTACTGAATTAATAAAATACT